GTGATGAGTTTTGTCGACATTTTTCACACAAATTTCTCTCTTACAGGCTCTACACACTCTTCACACGAAAGATATCAAACTGCTTTTTCCGAGATGTGAATAATCCACCAAAATTTTCGAAATCCAGTCCCTCTTAATCCAACCGCAAACTTATAGTTCCCAAACACGCCCTTTACTTATCTCGTCGCTCATTTTTTTTTTAATTATTTTTTCCCTGTTTGCAGAATTCCCGATCAGGCGATGACATCAGCAATCGACCCAAAAGGCACCCTATGAATCCACCCGTGGGCCCCACGAGGTCCTTGAAGAGGGCACCCGACCACACTTCCTCGATTTTCGACGGGTCCGCTCGAAAAATACGAGCGATCGAGAAAGAAGGCCAAAAGCAGCAAGGGAAAGCGGAGAAAAAAAACGTGCGTGCTCGTTCCTCGTTCAAAGGCCCCGACTTTAGTACTTACACCGATTCTTGTTCGGTGGGCAGTTGTAGTGTCATCTCAAACAGTTACAAAAACTCGCACGGTAATTTCCTCCTATCCACGAGTAGTGATGCCGAGTCATTTTATGGCCCGGGCAAAATCTTCCTTTATCATAATCAACCGCCGGAAAAGGATTTAGAGGTTAGAGTACGTGAGTTGGAATTGCAGGCTTATCGTAGCACGTTGGGAGCTTTGTATGCCTCTGGTCCCTTGAGTTGGGAGCAAGAGGCCATGTTGACTAATCTTCGTATTGTGCTTCACATTTCGAACGACGAGCATTTGAAGGAGCTGAAGCAACTAATTTCCAGTGATATTTCTGTTAGTGTTAGATAGGGTTGTCAGAATAAGCATTATCATGTAAGAAGTGAGAATAAGTGTTTAGATTTTGTAATCTTATGTTATCTTGGTTTGAGAATCTTGATCTGGGCAGACGCCTGGTTTGTGTTTTGTAAGTGAGGATGTGTGTTGAAAGTTTGTGCTCGTTAACAAAATGCGAGCCATATTTTTCGACCAGTTTAGCTTCTTTTTTATAAGAATTTACACATTACATTAAAATTTTAGCAGGACTTGTGTAATGTGTTGAGCATACTTTTGATTTTTTAATTTGATGAACTATAAAGGTTGTTTAGCACCACTTATAATGTAACTGCAATAGATTTCTTGTATTCACCCTACCGAGGTGAAAGATTAATGACAGCATATGTGTGTGTATTGTTCGAACGCCNCGATGACTGCATGCACACTGTATACGAGTGCATTTTGGCCGTTAAATTGTTTTATTACCCCCTCCTATTCATAATAAGTGTCGTTTTGGAAAGTTGCACACTAATTAACATTAATTTTTTTGCCAATATTAACCCTCATTAATGAAGATAGAGATGGATGTTTTAAAAAAAAAGATGAAGAGAATATGAAAAGACGTAGTGTATTTATTAACTAAATGAGGGTAAAAATGGAAAAATATGTACAAAAGATCCAAAACGACATTTATTTTGGTTAATAGTTGATAAAGCCAAAATGACATTTAAAAAGAATAGGAGGTAGTACCATTCATCATCCGAACAAACACAAAATATAGAAAATATTCGAGATGCATATTCAAATGATTAAATCCTATTTCTTGTGTATTCTACTCTCAGGCGAGTTGTATTGTAATGGTGAAAGAGGCTCTCTTAGCGTGTTCATATCTCCAAAGTCGATCTTCTTCTCTACTGGGCTGCACGTCCTAGGGCTTGATTTTCTCTTCCCCTGTAAGAAAGAAAGAGAATAATTATGACAAATTCATGAATGTGTGAGCGAAAAGGTTATCTTGTATTTAACACATAAACAGGTACAAAAGAAAAGAAGAAAAAAAATAAAGAAATGCCACTTAAAATGCTATAACCTATACCTTTCCCGAAACACTGCCTCCACCCGAGCCACAACCGTGCTTTTCCCTATAGCATTGCCTCATCAACTTTTTGTTCTCCTTATCAAGCATGCTGTTCTCTTCAAACAGAGCATTCACCTGAAGATAACTCGAAAGATGAATACAGAAAGATTTTTTTTTTTTTTTTTTACNATTTTTTTTTTTTTTTTTGAAAAAAAGTCCCAGTCATTGTCTGAAAATCCCGATTGACATATCTTTATGTTTTACAAGTTAGGTAATTTAATCATGGAACAACCTATTTTACCCATTTTCAAATATTGACGAATTCTTGTTTTTCCCCATAATTTGGCCAGAACTCCTCTAGAGATAATTTCTCTAAAGATTTCATTATATGTTTAATTAAGTAATTAACATACCTCCTCCTCAGCTCTAAGCAGATTTGTTGTCAAATGGTCTTTATCTTTTTCCAAGCGTTTCGCTTGTGCTGCAAGAGCTACCACCTTCTGGTTTAAAGGCCTCAAGCTAGAACAAAACAAAAACTTCCGTCAAATGTTAGCGAAAATAGAAACAAATCCCTATCTCTAAAGTGTAGTTATACTATATTCCACATTTTCCTAATTTGTAATGACATTCTCACCTATTCCACATTTTCAGTAGCTGCTGGCAAACATCCAATCCACTGTGTGCCTCCAAAAAGGTATGTGCAGCCGGGATAGTGTCATCCTTCTCGAACAAAGTAGTTAACAATGAATCAAGTAAAACTTGTTCCACATTCAGCTCATCAGCACACACATTAACCTTCAGCCATTAATATGAATAGTTCAGTCTCAAAAAAAGTAAAAATAGAAACAGAAAGCTTATCATGTGGACTCATAGAATTGCACTAATTATGCATCCACCAAGTTCGTTAATAAGGCCCCTCTATTTTTATTTTTAAAAATATTTAAGAATGTAAAGGACTGGCAATTTGAATACATTGAGAACATATAGCATACAACACACAACTTAGTATTTATCTTCAATACTTGTTATTTGTTAATAACTCCTGGCAATCGAGTGCATTGATTGATGCAAGGAACCAGATTGTAAGGTAATTTTCCATCTAAAGACAACAAGTTGCAAAAGAAGACTTCTACACAGCTGCATCAGGGTTGGTAAATATGCTATAAACAATGGTGAGAAAAAAATACAATCAAGGAAGTTGATGAAAACTGGTACTGAAAGAGGAACTCTTGAAATGAGATACAAAAGCAGCGAGCTGAAAATATCTCTTTAAGACTTTAGGATCCCTAACCCAACGCAAGCATGAAAATGAATCTTTTAACATATGGACTGTAATATGACAGAATGTGTAAGCACATGAAAAACTGCCGAGTTAGATGCTGCTACTCAAAGATACGTCATAGAGCCACGCTTCAGTTTACTGATCATAATGAAGATTAAGAAAACCATCTAATCGTCTAAACTCAGTAGTAACAGTGATTTTTTTCTTTCAGAAAAAAAGAATCCCAACCCCAAATATCCATTCTGACATTATCTTTCTTGCTGTAATCTTCCCTCATTGATGTCATTTACATGACTGTACACAACCTAAGATTCTAACCTGGAATAATTTTGTCAAAAAAACATAATTGCAGAGGTACGGAGATATTAAAAATGCTTTACCAAATTTGCACTCTTTTAAGTTCCTCACAAAGCATTACCAAAGAATTCAAACCAGGACATGTATTCGCCCATACTACAAAAAGTAAGATGCAAACTCTACAACGGAAAAAAGACAAGAGCTATGTGCTTATTACTGCAAAATCAAAGCTGGCAATCCATAGCCATAAACAAACATCATTAATTTCATACAGAATATTGGCAAACAGCCTAAAAAAACATTTAATCACCTGTGGGAACGCATTCAATTAACCAAAATCTCAAGTTTCAGAAAGATTAACAAGAACAGGAGAAAGGAAAACCAATTTACCGACTGCCCCTCAGATTGGAACTTATAGAAACTCAGCTCCTCCACCAATCTCTTCCTCTCCTCCTCCAGAGCACGATTCCTAACTTCAGCTTCCTTAGCCCTCTCATCCGCCTCATTAGCAAAATCCATCAGAGCCTCACGATCTTGGTCGTAAAGGGAGCACTCTCTCTCCCAATTGCTGCACGCAGCCAACAAATTAGAGCACTCAGTGGCCAGTTTCTGATTTTCCTCCACGAATTTCTTCAACGCCATTGCATTCATACTGGCCTCCGCCTGTTTCCAGATGATCAACATAAACAATCAGAAAANAAAAAAAAAAAAAAAAAAGGTAATCGAGTAACATGTAGAAAATCGAAAAAGAAAATAACTACAAACTAACAAACCCTAGAACGCTCGATGATTTCATCTTTCTCTTTAAGTTTGGAGTGCAAGGACAGGTATTGGCGGTGTAGGTGCAGATTAGAAGTCTCGACCGCTCGAAGTTTTCGAAGAAGAGTGTCTGTGGAAACCTCGAGGCCCAAACTATCATCTATCGATTCTCGTATATAATTCTCGGTTTCTTCAGAAAGTTCCATTTCAGTGTCCTCGGAGATTTCTGGCGAAGAAAAAAATTAGGGTTTTTTCTGGATTGGAATAAAGAAAAAAATCGGGATCCTCAAATACAGAGGAAAAGAGAGAGGGACGGTGGAGAGAGAGTATTGCGATCGGAGGTTTTGAGGGAAAGAGAGAGGGACGGTGGACAGAGAGAGAGAGAGAGAGAGAGAGAGAGAGAGAGTATATTGCGATCGGAGGTTTCTGCAACGGAGAAAAATTTGAATTGAAATTGAGAGGGATATAAAGCCGAATAACGTCAAAAGAAAAATTTGTACAAATAATTTGTTTTTGTTTTTTTTCCTTTTTGAACGATAATAATAAATTAATAATACAAATAAGGAAAAATTTTACTTTTGGTACCCCAGATATAAATACTTTTCAATTTTGATACCTATAGTTTAAACTTAATCATTTTCAGTACTCAAGTATTCAAAATTCATCATTATTGCCCAAACCGTCAGTTAACTGTGAGTCAACTGACCATCACCTCTCTAGCCGGTCGTCTCCTGCTGCAAGTGATAGAAAATGGCGGGGTTCTCTATTACAGCACCACAAAGCCGCAGACAGTGAGGGGAAAAAAAAAGAATTTGAAGTATTTGCAATTTTGCACCATGAACAGTTCAATTGAGTAGAAACTCAATTGTGAAGACAGTTGGTTCCAACAAAGGATCTACAACATAAAAAAAAAATCAAATAACTTGAACTGAAAAAGAGTATGTATAAACAAATAAACATAACTGAAAAAGAGTATTCATCTATCACGGATAATCGAAAAACCCCTAATTTGTTCAGCTGAAAAAAACCCTAATTTTAGGACAACTCTCACCATAATCAGATTATATGGATCCCTCAAAATTAACTATATAATTTCCATTAATTCAAAAAATTGGTGATATACTGAAGTGGAAAAACTTATCGTATTGAGGTTGCAACCCACATATAATCCTTCTCGCCATGGTCGTCGCAGTTCTGAATATGCTCGTTGTAAATCTAAATATGTTAGTCGCAAATCTGAAATGGAAGCTCACAATACACCAATACACCAGTCGATTGCCCACTCGATTGCAATAAATGAAAGAATTTTTTCTACAGGTAAAATGTTAGGGATTTTTTTCATTTCAATTAGGTCTGCTCGATTGGAGAAATTAGGGGAAACTGATTATTTAGGTTTCTTTGGAGAAAGCAACCGGCTAGATAAAGTGATGGTCAGTTGACTCACGGTCAACTAACGATTTGGGCAATAATGATGGATTTTGAATGCTTGAGTGACTGGAAATGATTAAGTTTAAACCATGGGTATCAAAATCGAAAATTATGCATATCTGGAGTACCAAAAGTGAAATTTTCTCTATAAATAACGCTTTAAATGTCCTTGCCTTTAAAAAAGTGTAAAGAGAATTGCGAATACCTAAAATATCCCCCACATGATATAATGCCTATATTACCCTTCTAACCAATTTATTTCACTTCCAAAATAAGGCCCGATGCTTCTTCCCTTCCTTTTTTTTCTTTTTTCTTTTTTTTTTTGTGTGTTTTGTTTTGTTTTGTTTGATTTGAACTTGAGCTTAAAAAATATAAAACCAATAAAATGCTTTGAAA